ACAGTCATTCTAAGTGAGGTAACCCAGTCCCAGAACATCACATGTTTTCTGTTGTTTGCAGGTGTTAGTTTTGAATCTTCAGATACATGGACTTGATTTGGAATACATACGTCGATCAGAAAATCGCTTACATACAGTAAGGAGACATGGGGGTGGATTTCAATGGTGGGAAGAAATAAATCCATGGTATAAAAACCTACAGGGGATCCATAGAAGAGGACAGGTTCAGTTGAGGTGTTGGTAGAAGGGTTAGGTAGAGGATAAACTATAGGGAAGGAAAAAAACTCTAAAATCCTCTTGAAATTATTGTATGGAAGCCAACCCACTACTGGAGAACCTTCTAAGAATATGGACAAATAAATGTATACAAAGAATTCAAATGTGGTTATGCTACAATTGGATAACAATGACCTCCTGGACATCACAGGGAAAAAACCAAAAAGCCAGGTGCCAGGAATGGCTTTCCTTTTGGAATTATTCTTCAGTGAGTCCCCACGGGTCCACAAACATTTTGGATAATGCCAAAGCTATTGGTTATCTTTTTAGAACTTGACTGTAAGATCCTATTGCTAAAGATATCATGTAGTAAGTTATAGAATTTAAGCTGGTACTGACCTGAAAGCTTCTTCCCCACTGTATAGGTTTTATAGTGCATGCCACTGGAGAAGAAAAGTAATCAGCTGTATTACCATGTGACATAAAGTAATGACTAGTCTGACAAGACATGTCCACTGGTGCAATATAAGGGTGGCATAAACATCATGAGGGCAGCCAATTGGCTGACAGAATGTTTTCTGAGTAAATGCAACACAGATACCACCAAAGTCTAACTTGGTGATCCCGTTGGTTTTATAGGGCTTACTTACAAGAATGTATGTGAGAATTTACTTACAGGAAAGGCAATAATTCAGTCAGCTGTGTCACCAAAGCCTACCTCAGCATGGATGACAATTCATAAAACCCAGAAAGCTGGAGTGGAATGCACACCCTCCAGGCTGCTCTACAGGTTCTAGAATTTCCTTTCCAGGTGGCTCAGTTGGCTCAGCTGGTCTTTGTTTCTTCTAGGCAGTTGGGATAGTCTGTTTCTTTTAGACTGATTGTGGGTCTCTGCTTCTTCTAGGGGTCAGGGCTTGTCTGAATGTATTCCTTGCACCTTGTGTCCTCTAAGAGTAACTCTCATAGTTTTGCTGTTTGCTATTGGGGAAGAAGGGGCCCAGGGAATTTGGTCAGTTTCAGAGACTTCCTGGAGCTATTTGTTTACTTTCTGTCTTAATTAGCTTCCCTGCAGCATGGAATGGCGCAATCCCAAAGGAAACGGCTACCGAACCCTGCACATTTTTTTATTGGGTTTAAGTCCTCACAAGCTGAAACCAATATCTGACACCATTGTTTAGCAGAGGACATGTGACTACATGAGTTATGAAACCCAGTAGAGACTCTACTGCTAATACTCTGCTAAATAAACATACTAGTCAATTGATTCCTACTGACTTGGTATACTCATAGATCAATGCATCTCTTAAAGTGCACCATAGAAGCTACTCTGCATAGATGGTGATTAACAGAGACTAGCACCTGGCCAAGGTGCAGAAAATACAAGCTCACAGAATGCTCAGCTGAAATGTAACATCTGTGCTGCACATTGCTAATTGATACCAGGATTATTGAAGAACAAAGAGGGGGTGGAATGACTGTAAGAACCAGAGACAATAAGTGAATCTTGGGGAAATAGTGTCCTCCAGACACAACAGGGAAATGAAACATAAGAATTCACAGTGGTTATGATGATATGTACAAGCCCCATGCCAACTCCAACCAGACCAAATCCCAGCACGGGAGTGGGAGCTGAACTCTCACCCCTCATTGAGGAGCTGTCAGCAAATGATAGCTACTGCAAAATGGAAAGTCAGTTTTCTTTAAGAGTGCTGCGACTAGTAGGGTGACCCTTCTCCAATGGAAAGCCACACATCAACAAATAGATTGCCAGCACTAATTGAACTCCACAAGTGGGAAAATAAGAGAACACAAAGTCTAGTAGGTAGAAAAGAGGATGTGGATCTCACAGGAGATGGGGGATAGAGGTGACTCATTGTACCAAGTACTCACAAAACCAATAAAAATAAATTTAAAAAGAAAAATCATATCAAATTAGAGTGAAAATGCTGGGGACGGTGGCATACTTATTCACCATTACTAGGAGTGTGAACTGGAGCAGCAATTGTGGAAATCAATGTGAATGTTTCTCAGAAACCTAGAAACATGTGACTCAGCTGTATGACTCCTGGGAATGTACCAGAAGGACTACATGTCCCACCACAGACACTTGCACACAAATATTTATTGTTGATGTTTTGTTAGTAGCTAGGAAAAGGAATCAGCATAGATATACGTAGTTGGATGGATAAAGAATGAGAATGTGATACATGTTAACAATGGAATTTTCTTCAGCTATAATGAAATTTATAAAGAAATGAATAAAACTGGACAATATCAAAGTGGCCAAATTAGCCATGGCCCAGAATGACAAATGCATAAGTTTTCTCACATGTGTGGAATGTATCTTTAAAGTTTTAGACTAGTGTGTTTAACTTGTAGCTCCGTAGAGGTCAGGATGTTGGAAACTAGCAATGAGAAGGTAAACAAAAAGACCGTAACAGGGCAGGGGAGGTTATAAGAGGAGGTATGGGTTTGAAAAAAGTGAAATAAGGAGAGGTTATGGAGTACCAGAAGACAAAGAGTAGAAGTTTAACTAAAATTAAGTGTATATGAAAACACTATATAGAAACTTACACTGCATGTTAATTAAAATACATAATGAAGAAGTTTGAATAGGTATCATGCATGGGTCGATAATGCTTTGTGTCCCCAATGTGGTCTATTTTAGAAAAGCTTCAGTCACTTGCATCTGCAAGGTGAAGGTTTGGAACTATGAGATTTCAATGGGGAGGAGCAGGGATACGAAAAGAAAGAAGACAGAAGCTGGGGTCAGGAAGATTACACAAGCTGATGGTTCATGCCTGCAAATTTGTTTAGCAGCATTGTGTCTAATATTTCAGAAAACTAACACAGAATGGAATAGAGCCAACAGGAAGATTGTCAAGCAATGGTGTGTAAGGAGAACACAGGCTATCTCAAATGTGTCACAGACCAAGCACACGGCAGCCTTGGGAATGATAACTACAGTATTTCAGGGGGAAAGTAGAGTTCCCAGGAATGGAAAACTGGGCAAGGACATAGAACTAAAATTGCTTTTATACTCTCATTAGGACCGCAAATAGAGCCTTGGATTGGCTTTTCCCCCAGTGCTTTCATGTGCAGATGAGAAGAATGTCTATATTCTTTGTTTAAAATATTGCATAGATATATGTTAAGCCCATTTTGTTGCATGCTGTCAGTGAATTTTGTTATTTCTTTGTATTTTTTAAAAATCTAGATCACATGTCTATAGGTGAAAGTGGAGTATTGAAAGTGGGATATTTGTACATTCTTCAGTTAAGGGACATCTAGGTTGTTTCCAGGTGGGGTTATTACAAATAAACCTGCTATGAAAATAGTTGAGCAAGTCCCCTTGTGGCATGATTGAGCATCCTTTGGGTATATGCCGAAAAGAGGTATAGTGGGGTCTTGAGGTATCTATTTTGGCATGTCTATTATTGTTGTCCTTGTCTAGTTCATGTTTGGTCAGTCACGCTGGTGAAACTTCATATGTGTAGTTCATGAGATTACTAGAAGGCACAATTTCACAGCAAAACTCCTCGATCCTCTGGATCTTTCAGTCTTTCTGCCCCCTCTTTAACAATGTTCCTTGAGCCTTAGTTATAGGTATCCATTGAGACTAGGTTCGATAAGTATTTTGATTGCCTCTGGTTTTCTGAAATGTTCTCCATCTGTTGCAAAGAGAAATTTCTTTGATTCGGGGTAAGGACCTACACTTAGGTGTGTGTACAAGCACAAATATTTGGAGTGTTGTTAGTAATTATGCTGAATTACTAAAAATGGTGGTCGTTGGTTTTCCTTTAACATCCATGAATCATCAACCCTGGGTAGTTGGTTCCAATACCAGACATGATTTCCTACTTGTTGATAAGTTTTTAAGTCCAGTTGGAGAGCTTTTGGTTACAGCCACGGTATGAATGCAGCTACTGCATCCTTAAAATGATCATTTAGTTATTGATGTGGAATATCCCTGTCATTTTTTTTCTTGGTGCCACTTCTGGGCTTTTGATCCTTGGTTCTAAAAGAAGGCAGAGCAAGCCAGGAGGACTAAGCCAGCAATTAGCACCCCTCCATGGCCTCTCCCTCAATTCCTGCCTCCGGGTTCCTCCCCTTTTAGAGTTTGTGTCCTGACCTCCTCAGATGATGGATAGTTATAAGGAAATGAGAGCCAAATCAATCCTTCCTAACCAGACTTGCTTTGTTAATGGTGTTTCATACTAGCAAGAGTAACCTTAACTAGAACAGGTCTGTCGGTGAGTTTTCAAATCCGTGTGAAAATCATCTGCACAGTGAGACCTACTGATGCCATCAAGGTGAGAGTTGAGATTGCAGCAACCATGCCAGGAACCTCAAACCATTCTCTCAAGTTTCAAATATCACGCTGGCTCTCCTAGGGGCAGATTCTAGCAGACAGGAATAGCCAGGGGGAAATGGGATTTGGAGGTTTCTTTTCACTATGTGATACAGCCAAGGGGAAATGGGAAGGCATTTGGAGCAGAGAGAAAACAAATGCAAAGAAACACATGCAGATAACCATGGGTTGGACCTATGCCAGTGGCTGGCATACATAAATTCCATTAAGAATAAGGCAACAAATTGATTAAAATAAAGAAAAGTGTGAGCATGGTAGGACCTCTTTTTATTTGTGGTGAATGGTTTTGCTATTCAAAGGAGGACACCAGAATTTCTGGTCTATCTAGGATTTTTTACACACACAGAGATATTTTATGTTCTGAAGTCTAGAAACTAATACACGATGGATTTCCTATACAGGAGATATTTTATTATTTCTTTTTACCTTTGTCAACTTTCTGAGTTAAATCATCAGATGAAGTTTCAGTGACAAGCTCTGATTCATCTTCTGACTGGCTCTTTTCTTCTAGTTCGAGTTTGTCAATGATTGCATATTTTCTAATTAGGAAAATCCAGAAAAGTAACAATAACCCCAAAAGAATACAAAAAGCTAGTAAGAACTTATCATCCTTGGGCTTCTTAACATATATTCTTGGAGGTGGTCCACTGTCTATACTACCTCCAAAGCCACTTACATTACAACCTGGTGGCTCCCATATGACATCACAATGGCAGTGATGTTTATTGTTACAGACTCCTTTCATATTGCATTGGGCTGCTGAACAATTACTTAACAAAACCGGCTTAGGGACACACTTCCTGTCAATGCATATATGGTCTAGACCACAAGGAGTGCCATCTCTCACTGCTCCACTGTCCTCTACTGTCATTCCAAAATGAAAGTCTATACTCCAGCAGGTGACATTTTGGAACTGAGACCAATGCAGTGTTTCATGGCTTCTCCTATGGGGAATCTGTTGCACATTGTCACACTGAATTCGTCCACAGAGTACATCAGCATCAGCACATCTTCTATAGTTATAGCTATCATTACCACAGTTACCAAAACGGTCACCCTGTTTGTTCATTTCCATGTAGCAAGTCTCACTGGCACTCCTGGCTCCCTTGCCAAAAATTGTCTGACAATGTTCCTCATGTTTATGACATGCCCTTTTATAGCAATAACTACTACCACCGCAGAGATGTCCATCCTCCATGTACACATCTTCTGGACACTCAGGTGAAGTTCCATTGCACCACTCTGGAAGGTCACACTCATTGTTCACACTTCTACACACTGTGCCTGTGGGGATCAACTTGCAATCTTTGCAACAAAGTCCAAAAGCACATTTAGCACCAGGTTTGAACATGCAGTCTTGGCTACAGCATGGATCTCTTTGACATGACTTATAAGACCCACAGTCACACTGCTCTCCTTCCTCCACTATATTATTCCCACACCAGGTCAGGTTTGTGCTGATGCTGACTGCTTCATCTGGAAAATTGTATAAACAGGTTCTTCTGGTAATAGTTCCATGGAGCTCCTCATAACTGCAGTTGCTGAATCTATGGGAAATAGATTTTGCTGGGGCCATTATGCAACTACTTCTCCCACAAGTACATTCATTCCTGTCATGAAGCATACCCAAATTGTGACCCATCTCATGTGCTATAATGAATGCCATGTCTGTCATTGAATCATACATGAAGCTGCTAACAGCACAATTATTAGGTGTACAAACTGTACCTACATAAGCTAGTGCCAAATATTGAGGATATACTTGCCTGGCAAAAAGATGTGCAATATCATTTCTAGTGTGTCTGTCAATGTTACTTTGCTTCCAATTGCAGAAAGTAGACAGGACTGTAGATATAGACTCTGTTACATTGACAAGGTTTGTGTCAGTCCAAACTTCCAGTGCAGTTAAAATCACCTCAACATCAATCTGACGATAATAACCATTTATTCCATTGACAATTTGCAACATTTCCTGCATGCAAACTGTGAGATTCCTTGATCTATAAACATATCGTTGATTATCAATCACCACATAATATTCAAGATATTTGTGATGGGTCCACCAATTCTCATACTGGCTTTGCATAAGTGTGGAGTCTTTGCTTTCTTGAGTCTTCATTTGTTGCACTATTTCCTCTTCTGTTAATCCACATCTCATAGAAAATGATTCTGAGTCCTCACTGTCCATTTTGTAAGCAAGGTGTTCAAATGTTGAAGATGACTTCTTGGGCATGATTTCATAAGCTGTGCCATTTATCTCTAACATGCCTTGCAAACTTCCCAAACAGGTGTTAATAATCACCATAGAATCTGGGTCTCCATCTACATTTCCATGGTAGTAGCAGTCAGTCTTCACAAAAGGCTGTTCTGTAAGGAGACCTCCTTGGTCAGTGTAGGTTAACAGTAGGAAGTTTCTGGATATGAAGTATTTTGTGAGCTTCATGGTGATAATGTGTCTTTGTCCTCCAACGTGGAGGCTATAGGACAACCAGCCTGTGGAAGTATTAAGTCTGTTAGTGTCAGTGACCCTCAAGGGTATCACTACTTCTGGAGGGCTACTGTATTTAGTGTGTCCATTTGGGGACCATGTGGAGAGGAAGAGCACCATCCACAGGCACAGCTGAAGGATCATAGTCCTCTCATGGACCAGGACCTCACCCACAGTCACTATGTTCTGTTAGAAAACAAAGGGGGAACATGAGAGGGCTTTCTCTCCTAGAACTCAGTTTGTCAGATTGCATGTAGCACTGGCCTTTAATATTGTGCCTTGTGGCAGAGTTGACCCATCAGAGCAGCAGAACTAAAAGAGACAGGGAAAAGAAAGGCAGACATGGCAATACATAAATCAGAATAAATCAGGTTAGAGAAGAAAAGAGTAGAGAACGGGCTAAAATCAGTCTTTTTTCCCAAGGTATTTCAACATTGTGTTGGGATTTCTTTTCTTTAATTGTTTAAAGTAAACTTTATCTCACTACAAATATATTTCTAATACTCTGCTAGATCTTGGTAATATACTTACAATTTTTAATAACTTGCTCTCATTTCCACATTGTTTCTGAATATTCTAATTTTCAGCCTTCCCTTAATATCAATGCAGATATGCTTAGCTGAAAAATAAGATTGCCTTTGCTTGTAAGTATATACATCTTCCTACCTACTAACCTATTTACCTATCTAGTGATTTAAATTGTAACCCTCTTCAAACACTGTACTGCTCAGTGAGCACATTTCTATGCTCCTTCCATCCTTGCCTTGTAATCACTGTGGGTGGAAGAAACTTCTCTCTGGCTGAAAATTCTTCTTATTTTTATTAACATTTTTTTGTTTTTAATATTGTTGCATGTGACTGTGTACAATACTGTGAATTTGAACCCTGCATGCATCTTAATATACTTTGGAGGTTACACTTCATCTTGGTTGGTGAGTCTTCAGAAGCTATACACCTTGCTTGTCCAATTATTTCTAAAGTTTAGTGTTTTATTCATTTTTTCATTGTTTATACACATATGCGCGTGCGTGCGTGCGTGCGTGCGTGCGTGCGTGCATGCGTGCGTGCGTGCGTGCGTGTGTGTGTTGGTGTGGTTGGTGTTGGGGTTGGGTCTGTGTTGTTGTTCGTGTTCTTGTGTGTGTGTTTTTCTGTCTGTGTTTGTAGAAATCAAGAATTAACTTTGGATATCATTCCTAAGGCCTCATCCACCTTGGCTTTTGACTCAGAGATGGTCACAGACATGGTGCTCACTAAAGAGGGAAGTGCTCATTAAAATGGAAGAATGACTGGCCAGAAAACCAGAGAAATCTTCATATTTCTGCCTTGTCTTTTATGGCATTGCAAGGACCGGCCACTGACTTGGCTTTCTACATAGCTTTCAGTGATTAATTTTCTTGGCTGTATGCTCTCAGAGCGTTCAATTTACAAAATGAGCAGGCTCTCCAGTCTGGTATCATAATCTTTAGCATGCTATTATTTTGAAAAATTAAAGAATACGATATACTACCATATAGAGTATTGAGAGATTACACAAGGAAAGTATCCATAAAAGACATTTAAGGACAATATAATGAAACCATGATTAAAACTCTGACATGTTGATTACTATTCAAACATGTTTTGGTTTAGATTTGATAATTATTATAAAAAGTGTATTTCTGATGTACAGAAAAGAAATTTTAAAATGCATCATTGTTGGGATTGTAGCAAGAAAAATATATCAGAATTAATGACTAAATCTATAGTAGTAGATAGGTTAAAAGCAAGCCTTGAAGAATAATTAAGGAAGTTGAATTTATTAAATTATTATAAACAATGTCCTAACATCCAGAACTCTAGAGAAACAATACAATTTTCACCCAAAATTTGGTTCAACTATAACATTCTAGATTTCATGTAAACTCTCAGATATTATCTTTTACTATTTTCCTCCCCACAACTTTATCAAATTCATCTATAGCTAACCTTTTGCCACCCAAGCTCTCTTATAATTGGAATGTACTGAATCACACTAAAAGCTCTAGATTCAGCAAAATAATACAGAAGGGAGTGTAAATATTTAAAGGAAACAAATGCCATCCTCAAATATGAACAATTGTGCAGGAATTGATGGATGTGTGAGTTCACCTCTTCACCTCTTATTATTTGTGCTTCTTACTGAATCCTCTAAAGAGTTACCACCAGAGAAAGTGATACCTGTATTTCTATGGCCTTGCTCACAAAACATTTTTAAAACACATCTTAGGAACAAAGATTTTTGTTTGAGAATGCACAAGAGAATATAAATCCTTTCTTTGTCTCTTATGGAGTAAGTTCTAGATTCGTGAGCATAGCAACAGGTGCCTGTCATTTAACAGAACATGGTACCTGGTGAAATTCTTCCAAAAGATGGTTCTCACACTTCAGCCAACTCTTTATTTTTGTTCATATTGTTATCATTTTTCCTGTTTATCGGCTCAGTATTGACCATAATAAGAAATTCTCAAAGCACTTCAAATTCTAGAAAATAATTCCACCCCTTTTAAAAATACTATTAAGGAATTGGGTGTCTTAATTTATCTTTCTGTGGTCAATGAAAACCCGAGAGACATAGAACATCTGCATATATAGATTCATTATCTGTTTTATATAACTGTTATTAATCTAATGTATGAAAAGAGTTTAGAAGGAGAGAGCTGAGAGAGAGCATAGGGAACAATTTCTTTGGCCATGAACTAGCTGATAATTAAGAAAACATCATTCTAAAAGCCATGAACTTCCTAAGTTGATGAGGTAAATGGGAACATGTTTATTTACTGGTAACATGTCTGGTCACTTGTTGACATATTTGTGTGCTTCATTGACCCATCTTTTTAATTTTTATTTTCTTGGAGAATTTTAAACTTTATATTTTATTACATTCTTTCTCAAAATGCATCTCCTCTCAGATCCTTGTTCCCTTTCACTCCCCCAAGCTTCATGTTATTTTTCTGCCTTAAAAAACAAAAACAACAAAAAAAATGAAACAAACAATAAAAAGATACTGAAAAACCTGGAGTCTCATTAGTGCTGGCTAAGTACATGTGATCTTTGTGTCTGTCCAGGAATGAGTGAGTGTGGTTGAGAAACTTGGTTTCGCTGCACTGAAGAAAACTGTTTTTTTGTTTTTGTTTTTGTTTTTGTTTTCTTTTCCAGAAATTATCACTTGCAAATAACTTCCTAGTTAAGAGTGGGCCTTTTGAAACAGTTGTTTTTGATGAAGTTTCTTTTTTCCTTCCCCTAGACAATGTATTTTGATCATGTTTATCTACTGGTGGCACTGTATATCCACTTCTTCTTGTTGGAATTCTGTATGGGTTGAGATTGTCCAGGTCTTTTTCTCACTGTTTTTCTGAGTTCATAGGTGAGTCTGTCCTATTGTGTCTCTTTGTCCTATTAGAGTCTTTCTGTTCCCTGTTCCTCAATAATTCCTGATCCTCAAGGGGATAAAGACATACCATTTAGGTAGAAGCACCCCACACATCTCTCTCTTTCTGCATTTTGTTCAGTTTTGGTCTCTGTGTTATTTACTGCCCACTGCTTGAAGAAGGTTCTTGATGAGAGTTGTGTAAAACTCTCATCTATGGGTATAGCAATAGGCGATTGGGATATGTCATTTTTTTTTTTTTTGTACTATTTTGTTTGTAGTGGAATTAGAGTTGTAGGTTTCCACCGAGGCCCTGAGACCTAGGTACTTGAAACATAACCAATAACAAGTATGGGTTCTATATCATGGAGTATAACTTAAATCCAGTCAAAATTGGGTTGGTAGGTCCCTGAACATTCTTAACACTATTGCACCAGTGAGCATATCTTATAGGAAGTCATTACCTCAGCTTAGCATAGCTATATTATAGCTGGGTAAGGCTGATGATAGTGTCTGTATTCTCAAAGCATATATGGTATATTTTGGTTTTATTAATCTTGGGTGTTGTAATGGGGATGTATGAAATTTCTACATAACTTTAGTCTTTTGTTATTGAAAGTGGGTTACATTTGGAAGCTTAGCAAATGGGGATGTGTGGTGATGCATTATTTATGATATATGTGATATATTATAGCTTGCCTGAGGATTCAGAAAGCAAATCTAGCCACACACCATAGAAGCCAGGCACATACCTTTTAATTCCAGCAGCCAGAAGCTAGGAGGTGGTAGTACACTCCTTTAATCACTGGACTCAGTATGAAGGAGTAGACAGATCTCTATGAGTCCAAGGCCACACAGATCTACGCAAGATTGATCCAGTCCTAAAGAGAAACAGTTCTCACAAAGATGATCTCGGCACCTGGGATTACACACCTTTAATCCCAGCATTAGGGAGATATATAAAACAGGAGAAAGGTCTTAGTATCAGGCATTCATTCTCTAGTCCTGTCACAGAGAGGAGGATTCATCCTCCCAGCCACATGGAGGATAGGAAGACATCCAGTTTCAGGATTCTCCAACTATGCTGAGGAGAGGCAGCAGGATCAGCCATTTCACCCTGAGGTAGTGGTAAGAGCTAATGGCCTGGTACTTTGCTGTTCTGATCATTAGCTTGAAGTTTGAACCCCAATATCCGACTGGGGCCATCTATTTATCATGTTACAGGGATGTTCTTCTTTGACCCTTCCTCCTCCTTCTTTCTTTTCTTTTTTGAGACAAGAAAAGAAATCTTGGCTGCTTTCTTGCTGTTGTAGACCAGGCTGGCCTCTAACTCAGAGATCTGTCTACCCTGCCTCCCTAGTGTTGTGCCCTCTTTCGATTTTCACATTCTTTTCTTCTAGACATATTAAGAACTTGTTTGTAAACAGCCCATAATTGACCTGATGTCTTTCACTGTTTAATAATTTTCTATAATGTCATCATAAGGTAAGACATACTGACTATAGCACTAAATAGCATAAATTTATTGTCTGGCAGATTTGGAGTTTAGAATCTCAATAACGTGATATCCTCATAGCCACACTTCCTCTCATGTTGCTAAGGTCGATGAACTTCAGGACACTTCTTCAGTCTGGTGGGACCCTGAGCAAAGGCACATAATGCTATCTTTTTTAACCTACCATTGTGTGTGTGTGCCAATTTTACTCAATTTAAATGACTGTGAGCTATATCTTAAAATACAATTACCATGAAAAAATTATTTTGCAAGTAAAAGTCATACATGATAAAATGG